TTCGTATAACTGTATATGAGATCGCATAAAGCATAATATCATATCATGTGGACTGTTTAATAATCATAAAGGTTGTTGTTAATCATAGTCATAAAGTAAGTCTTAACAAAAATATATGTATATTGTGGATGGCCAAGTCAATCCAAGACTAGTTTTGATCTTAAGACTTTTAGGTCCAGCTGTGCAAACTTTCAGAGTCACCATATGAAAAATTTTAAGACTAGATTAGGCTTTGTCCAAGACTATGTCCAATTGGAGTTAGGTTGCATATTTTAGCATTCAATAATTATCGGATATTTTTGTTCCAAAAATTATTTATTTATTAAACTAATTTCGAATTCAGTATCAATTTTAAGAAAAAATAAAAATGTTGAATCTCACACAATTGACCAATTTCAGAATCAGGTGTAACGTAAAAGAAATGAACCCACTTTTTACAAAAAAGAGAGAGTAACTAAATTTTAATTCAGAAATTACCTTCTGAGACCTAATCAAAAATGTTTCTTGTGAAATTTTACTAGTAGTACATTATAATTTTTGTGGGAATGCTACCAAAAATTGCCATCACCATTGATAAAAAAAAAAAACATGTACTTCAATAATTGAAATAATTGTATCATACTAACATAGGTTTGATTTTACGCTCACATGATTTTTTTGACTTTGATACGTTTATGTTAGTGTTCAGGCATATTATTTAGATTTTAAAACTGCGATTTATTTAACATGAAAGAATTAAACAAATACTACATTGTAATGATATATTATTTGGATTTTATAATTATTTTGTCGATACTTTTAACTATAGAGTCATCTTTAAAAAGTATACCCTCCATAACCATAACAACATTTTATGTTCAATTTCATTGTTTTTATACAGCTCGACTTCATCATCTATTTCATATAATTCTTGTTCTACATCACCATCATCTTCTTGTTCTACCTTTTTGGTGTGTAGTTCCTCAGTTACAATATCAACATCATGATCATTTACATCATTTACATTATAATCATTGCTGTCATTTGTATTTTCAATAAAATAATCAAAAAATTTATTTATAATTGATTATGTAGTACTTATAATTATGCCTAGTCTTAAGGCTTCAGTTATCGTATTATTCGTGTACTCTAACAGGTTTACTAGAAATTCAACATAAGGTGTTGATCTTCCTGCTAAGATAGTGCAAAGTCTCAAACTTTCTTTCACCACACTTATTCTTGAATCGATGTTTATATGTGACGATGAATTTTGTCGACTTATATTCACCACATAAATAATAGTATTCATTATTTCCAATAGCCAAAAGGGAAATATGGATTCGATTTCGTCCAAACAAAACCTTGATGGTATTTCGGTATGCTTCACTGTTTATACAGTAAATTTATCATGTATACATGAGAAAAGGTAAGTATTTCGTGTCATCATCACATCCATTCTAGTCCCATTGGTAGTAGTTTCGGAAACATGAGGATCTATATAGGTAATTACACAGGATTGGTAGTCACTGGTCTCATTCCCGCAGCGTGACTTACATCCTCGCGTATGTTAAACAACCATACTCAGAAAGTAAAAACTTGTTCACGAGAAAGCGACTCCTCTAACATATTTAAAGGACTGAAAAAAGGAAAGATCGAATGAGTAACTAAGTGAGCGAAGAACCAAATACCGGTAAGTAACTAAGCGAGGGCATGTGAAGGACCAAATAAGTGACTAAGCGAGCTAGGGACCGAATGAGTAAATAAATGAGCGAAGAACCGAATAAGTAACCAAGCGAGCGAAGAACCAAATACCGGTAAGTAACTAAGCGAGGGCGTGTGAAGGACTGAATAAGTGACTAAGTGAGCGAAGAACCGAATGAGTAACTAAGCAAGCGAAGAACCAAATAAGTAATTAAGCGAGGCAAGACTAAGTGTGTGAAGAACCGAATAAGTGACTAAGAAGCGAAGGACCGAATAAGTAACTAAACGAGCGAAGGACCGAATAAGTAACTAAACGAGCAAAGGACCAAATGAGTAACTAAGCAAGCGAAGAACTAAATAAGTAACAAAGACAAAACTAAGCACGCAAAACTAAGTATGAAAAAGTTCATTAAGCCTCATATTTATATGTTTTTATTGGTCTCTATGATAGTACTTATGTATATATTTTCAGTATTCATAATGATAAATGCGATCCCTTAAATACACAGCCTCAAAGTAAACTCAGATATGTCATTTTTTTTGTTAGTTTTTTTTTTTTCTTTTTTTTTTCGCCTTGCACATGTCAGAGATATGAGATAGCCCCTGAATGCAAACCTCAAAAATAAACTCAGTATGTCTTTTTTTTTTGTTTTGCGCACGTGTCAGACCAGGAATTTCAATTTCAAAGATGTAATAAAATTTTTTTATTTTACTGTACTTTTTGTTTAAAGCAGAAATGCAGTCTGGGAATATACCAAAAATGGGGGTTATCTAAAGTGGAGCATAATCACATAGAATTTTAATAGAATTTTGATAAAGTTAATTCAATAAAATATATATTATAAGAATCTGCTCCGCTTTAGACGTTCTTCAAAAATGGACATTGAAGATCGCACCATTTTACTTAATAATCAACCAATCAAATTTGATAAACTAAATTGCAAAGCAAGCAAAAAAAAAGAAAAAATGTGAAAAATATCAAAAACAGTAGTCTAAACCCACCTTGGTGCATTAATAAAACATGTGAGAAGGCTAATATTAATGAAGAAACGTCATGATACATATTCTACCCTGCTTTAGAATTAGGACCTTAACGTTAGAGGTTATAGAAACAAATTAACTCTCATTCCCGACATTTTTAATTAGTGCATCAAAATTTATGCTATGCTATTACTATGGGCATGATATAATATAATTGAACTACCTTTCCAATTTTTCTCTTGTAATCTTATGTTGTTTGATTTTCTACTCAGAATATTTTGAAATATTAAATATCAGTTTAGAGCGAGACATATCATATAAGTGGCATGCCCATAGATTATAGCATATCAAATACGTATTATTAACGAAGCTATAAGCAAAGCTTCATTTATTTTAAATTCATTTATTTTAAATAATAATTTTATTTTGCTTAATCATTCGCCTTTAACAGTTCTATATTTTAAACAATGCTACCTGTATATACAGTATTATTCAACAATGATTTATATATCAATTTGTAATCTAAATCTTATTTGTAAATTTTATTAATACCTATATAATAATTGTCGTGGCTGAAGCTGGAAATGGCTGAAGCTGGAAATTTTAATATTTTAATATGAAATTTACAAAAAATTTTGGAATGCATTTTGTACGATTTTTTTTTATAGTTAGATTAGAATTTAGGGTTAGGGTTTATAATAAAAGAGTATAGTTAGATTTTAGCAAGGCTTATAGTTTTAAATCGAGACCTCTAATTTCTAGCTTTAGCCATTTCCAGCTTCAGCCGTGACAATAATTAAAATATGATCAAAGTCATCTAATTCAAGAATCTGTTTGTAGATCAATCTCGAATGTGATTGCCTAATTTGGGAGTTGTCTAAAGCCATGTACCCACATAACTTTTTTGTATAAATCAACCAACCGGAATTGCGAAATTTTGTTTACACAGATTAGTCCGAAGAAGTCAAAAAATAAAGAAAATGCAAAAAGACAAAAAACGGCAGTCTTAACCTATCTTGGGTACTAATTAAAAATATCGAGAAAGCAATTTTACATATACTCATTTTTTTATATCAACACCCAACTAACCCTAATCCTAACTTTAATTTTAATTTAAACGATTAAAACGTTAAAATCATGTAGGTACATGGCTTTAGCCATCCCTCTAATTTGTATAATATATATACAGTACTGTATTTTATTGAATTAACTGTAGGGTTAGGGTCATCTTTAGGGTAGTTTAGGTTTAAGTAATTATATATAACAGGAGCGACCGTCAAGATTACACAAAATGCAAATCATTTCCGAAATCTTCCCAACCAATCAAATTTAATATCACATGATTATCAGCCAATCACAGTTGATAAAAAATTTTTTTTGTGCGTTTTTTGTACTTTTTGATAATCTCACACAACCTATTTTTAAAATAGAACGTGAAATATACTAAGCAAGCTTTAAAGTATTCATATCAAACTTTAATAATATTACTTGAATCCACTTGAATCCAACAACTTTTATATTAACTTTTACCCAAAGAAAATATGCCAGAATGCAAGAAATGCTATGTCACTGAGTCGATTAGATTCTATTCGTTGAACAAAAAAAAGTGGGGAGAGGCTAAAAGTAACAATTTAGTGAAGGCAATGTGGAAAGAAGAAAATATTTTATGTAATTCTTGTTACATGAATTTGGTCGAAAATCTTCTAAAAAGAGGTCTTAGAGTAAAACCTGCGAGTGAAAAAATCGAAGCAAATATGATGAAAGAGGAAAGTATGAAGGTTGAACTTATTAAAGTTATTAAGGAGATAGCGAAAATTTTTTATGAGAAAGAGCATGTAAAACAAGAAAGTCCTATTTATGTTTTTGATGAAATGCGAGCATTATTTCAAGAAACTAACCCAATCTTAGCAGAATTTCTTAACCAGCTTTACTCTGCAGCTCGGCCTCTTGAACGTAATGAGCAAATGATAGACTGTATGAAGAAATTAATAGTGTTAATTTGTTATTTACTTGCTTCATTAAATAGCACAAAAATTAATGCTTTTAAGCTTGATATTGCTTATTATTTAGATTTAGCAGGTACGACTAATGAGGGCTTGAACATGATGGCAAGTCTTGGCATATCTACAATGGCGAGAACTATAGAACATAAGAAGAAAAGAGCATCAGATATACATAAAAAATATGTAGATAATGCTCTTATAAGATGCTCAGAAAATGCTTTGGTGCTAAATATCAACGATTATCACAACATCTATGTTCTGCACCAACCTAATACTACAGCAACGTCTCAACCAACATACATGGTATCAATTTTGGTAAATTCATGTTATATGCCAGTAATACTGCATAGTAAAATAATTAATCCCAAGGTTGTTGATGATAAATTGATTATAAAACACCTTGAGGAGCGATTTATTGCAAACCTTGCAATTTCTTATTCTAATCGCAATCATATGTAGGATTATGTGAAAGAATATACTGACAATGAATTCATAGACAGGCTAACATTATACAGTTATAATAACAGGTTAGCTAGTAAAAAAAATGAGTACCATATCAAGAACGCTATTTTCGTCGACTTTGTTGAAAGCGATTTGAAAAAGATAGAGCATTATGTAAAAGCTCTCAAAGTCGTATAGGATCGCGAACCTATGTCGATGTATATTTTCAATCACACCATTCCTATTGTCGCAGACTGGCTTAGACAGTTTTATATTCGCAAAGCTATTGCGCAATGTATTCTTTCCAATAACACGTCTATTCCTTCGTTTGTTACTGTATTTTTACCAATTATAGGCCTCTCCATGTATCATTAAATTCCCGTAAACTAGTTTTTCTTCAAAAATTTTTTTTTTAATGAACTTTATAAAGGATTTTTGGTATACGTAAGGACCTCGGTAAAAAGCCATGATCATGGAGAATCGATTTGATTCTTAATATCATATATGAAGCATGGTCAGAAATAGCCAATGTTGTTAATTCGAAATTCAGTAATACGTATAAAAATATAGAGTTTCTCTATTTGATGGATCTTTTAGGAAATTTGGTTCCTTTGGTTATTGACGTTTATGCAATACACTATCGGGAAGGTAATTAGCAAGCTTACGAAGAAGCTTGCATGCGTTGTTGGAGCGATCTTTTTCTTCGATTTGATCGAAAGAACTATAAACGCGCTTCTTTATTATTTTTTTCTGATATTTTTTATTGAATGGAAATTAACCATCCAATTATTGACATGTTTACTAACTATCTCGCTTCGTTAAGTGATAGTCCTGTAGAAACATTTTATAGTATTATTCGAAGATGCACTTCCAAATTCTTTACGGCAGAACAGTTGCGGTCAGAGGCATATTTTATTTTTTCAACACCGGAAGGATGAGTTTCGACAGCATTTTGTAAATTCTGTGAAGTATCTATATATGCCAAAGCAATTGAGCATGCTTTTCAAAAAATGTTCGATGTTGCTTTTAGACATATTTACGAAGATTCATCAAAAATATAATTTACATTCTCCTGTTATTCAAAGTTCATCTGATGGCATTAACACATACAA